GTATATAAGCATGTTTAAAAAAAGACTTAATTTATTGTACTTCAAACAGATATATCAAAATAAAGTATAATTTATCATGATCATTTCAGTCATGGTCTAGTTAGACATACCAAAATAAGGTCTAACCAGATTTGCAAATCTAGACATTAATTTGTAAGAGCGTTATATCTCTGTAGGACCCGAATGGACTTCTCTTTACTGATCAGTATCAAGGGAAGATCTATCTATTTTTTAAATCTCTTTTTATAATCTCCGTTTTAATTTCTATGCAGGAAATTTCTCGCTCGGCGCATCGTACCGTTCCGCCGTGTCGGTCGCGCGACACTCACCCGTCGAGGAAATCAACCGCAAAATTCTAATCTGATCGTGGATACGCGATAGTATCGGAATTTTCTGTTGCTTCCCTGTGCGCTTCGACATCGACTCCGTCGTTCAGACGGACATTCTCCGTGACGAATCCGCGAAATCGATCGTGTGCAACCACACAGCACCGAGCACTCACCGATTGTGTGGGCGATCTTTTGTTTTGAAGAGATACCAAATCTCCCTGTCAACTCGCGCCTTGCGCTCTTACAGATGGGAATTCGAGCTGAAGACCGGCGCCGACGGCGGCCTGCTGCTTTATAACACCGGGCAATCGTCCTACGCCGATTACCTCGGCATTGAACTGTTCGAAGGAAAGATTCGACTGCTGATGAACAAAGGGAACGGCCCATCCGAGTTGATACACGGCACCGTGGTGGCCGACGGCAAATGGCATGGCGTCGTGGTGGACTTCAACCCGAGCGGCATCGGCATCGCCGTCGATCGCCACGAAAAGACGATGGCTTTGCCGTCCGGCGGTAATCGTTTCCTCGACTTGGCCGACACGTTATATATCGGCGGCACGGAGCTGAACAAGCGCGCTCGGGCGCTCGGCAAGGGCCTGCGATCCGGCGACGTGAGCTACAAGGGCTGCATACGAAATATGGTGTTGGATAACAAGGACCTCGGTCTGCCGGACGTTAAGGTCAGCCAGGGTATAGTCGTGGGCTGCGTATGGGGATTCCCCTGCTTCGAGGCCGAGCCCTGTATAGCCGGCGCTACCTGCTCGCAGCTGGGCGTCAGCTCGTTCAGATGCAACTGTGACCAGTCGCTATGCACCAAGCCGAATTACGTCGACGACTACAAGGTAGATCAATTTTAATCGAGTTTCGATGGCGCTCCACTTGGCGAGGGTTACGTTGCGGTTGCGAGCTAATTATGTCACCGGGAACTAGCATATGGATTTATGGAGATCCGAAATGCACGGCTAACTTAGTCAAGATAGAGCGCGCATATAGGCCGTTCTTTGACAGCGGCCTCTTGTCTTGCAGCGTAACTAGCGTCATATACATGGTGTCTGACGATGAAACATATAAAACTCTCGTATACGTATAAATTAAATCAAACTGAACGAAAATTCTTCTATCATTTTGCGCGAACAACCATGTAAGATTTTGAGTTATCAATTAAAGAAGATGATCGAAGGTGACGAATGATCGCACGGGATACGGTGCAGAGTGTGATAGTAAGTATGATTTATATTGTGCGCTTTAGGTCAAACTGAACCAAAAAGTCCTCTCTTATTATCTGACAGCCAAATAATGACCTAGAAATGTAAGTTATGCTCTCTCAATCTAAGGTCACAAATAATTTACAAATATGAACACCAGGCTTAGAATAGATAACGATTGATCACACGACGTCTGCCGTCAAACTGAGGTTAAACTGAGCAAAAAAGTCCCCTATCATTTTGCAAATAATTATGTAGTTTTTTAAGCTATTAATTAAAGAGGATTATCGACTAATCACGCACGATCATTCGTTGATCTTCTTTAATTGATAACTCAAAATTTTACGTGGTAGTCCGCAAAATGATAGAGGAATTTTTTCTTCAGTTTAACCTAATCTACATATACACGACAGCTTTATATGTTATCGTCAGATATCCTGTGTACCAGATACATGTCAGAAGTATTTCGTTTTATTCGTCAGTCACTAATGACGGATTTTCTGGTCCAGTGAAAGAGAGACACTCGACGGTGAGATACGCGTTGACATGCTGATATCCCGACGAACATTGTTCGTGTCGGTGAGATAAAATATCAAAAGTCGATGCGGTGATGCCTTTGCAGATTTACTCCAACACCACCACTCTGCCTGTAAACCTGGAAATTCTCTCGCTGAGTCCTCTGCTGGTCTCCGAAGGGGAGCATGTGCTGATAACGAGCGACAATATCGGGATGGTGCTGGACATTGCTAAGTACAACGTGGGGGAGGAAGGTGTCGTGTTCACCTTGGTGACGCCACCAACTTACGGCACATTGGCGTTCGACTTGCTAACTACTCGGAGCGATCACTCTTTCACGTTGCAGGATATCAATCAAGACAAGGTAACCGCGCACGCGACCAAACCGCGATCGATTAACAAATCTACCAATCGACATTTCAATTCGTAAGTTCTCGGCCGCGACGCGATCGCCGCGACGTCAGCGTCCACCTGTCGGCCACACGTGTGCGCCACGGCTCGAGATGAAGCCGAGGAGTTTCGCGGAAACACGTGTAAAAGGCGAAACTCGGTCGGTCTGCACCTGACGTTAATTAATATCAGGTGACTGAGCGCGACGCGCCGGTCGACCCGCCCCCGTAGGCCGTACAAGGTGCGGAGAAACGTGGAAAGTCATGTGTTCTTCCAGTTCGTCATAGGACCACGCGTCGCTATACATAGTACGCGCCATAAGGACTAACTTTAGAACGGTTGGCGGAGGGTCGGACAACTCCGTTCTCGTGGTTCTCCCGTTCGCCTGCTCGTCGTACGCTAACCCACACTCAATTTATCCAGCGACAGTGCTCTATTTATAAACTGCCGCCACCACTCATTAATGGTTTTACGTTAAATCGCGTATCGGCCTTTTTATACCGTACACACCACACCACCGGCTTTCGTTACATACCGCCAATTACTTTCTAATCGTTACAAAAAAGCAAGAGGGAAAAAGGAACTCGCGTTTTCTTCTCCTTTTTTTCCCCTTTGCCCCTTCTCTCTTTCTCTCTCTCTCTCTCTCACGCGCGTCTCGCGGGATCGGCGACCGGCGGCGTCCACTCGATATGCTAATCAATGACTCCCGATATAACCCCCGTCGCTCTAATTAATTTCAACCGCGGTCGATCTCGAGTGTTAGATCGAACGGCAGAAAGGATAACACGAGTCGGGCGCTCTGACGTGCTCGCCCATGATTAATTCTGATTCTGTAGCACGGTGCAACGTATATGCGTATATGTGAGTGTGTACACCCACTCGAGGCTCCCGTGGTATGGCGAGAGCTGTGGCAAGTTAAAGTCCACACACTCCTCGTTGTTGTAAGGTCGCGTCTAACCGATACTGCACGACAGATTAGTAGCACTCGCGCGCGATCTCCACGTCGTGTGTAAATTTACTTTATAAGACGGCACGAGAACACGCAAGGGGGTGCTACTGGAAGATGCCACGTTACTTAATCTCGAGCTCGCGATTCCGAAATGTTTATTAAGCGCTTTAGAAGTATGTTGTCTATCTCGTGGCGTTACGGGTCTCATGCGTCTTAGAATTACGTTAATTTTCCCGTCTCTCGCACTACGCGACTCCTGCATTAGGAGCGAGACATGATGCATAGCGCGTTATCCTTATGATAATTGACTTCCCCGACAGATACAATACATGCACGACGGTAGCGAAACCACAGAGGACAGCATGATTCTGGAGCTGACATTGGTGGCCGGGACAAGCAACACGCTGCCAGGATACCTCCAAGGACGTCTCAGGTTTCCTCTTCACGTTAATGTCACTCCTGTCAATGACCCTCCGTTGCTCGAGATACCGACCGCGAAAGTGCTGCGTCTGGCCCAAGTAAGCCACGAAAATAAACTCTGAGCTCGTCTTTTCTTTTTTTTTTTCCCCTCCTTTTTATTCTGCCGGCTCATTCCGCCACGCACTTTTTCCACGAACGTCGACCGCGACAATGCGATAATTCGAAACACGTTGCGTCTCGCCAGCCAAGATAACCACCGCTTCACGCCACCTAACTGAATCAATTAATGGAGGCCAAATGAAATAGTAGCTTATTTGTGACTCGTGCATCTTCGGAGAACGCGGCAATTTAGCCGTGGCGAAATCGATTTAACTCGCTCGCGCCGGTCATCGCTCTTAATTAACCGCGCGTGTAAGCTCGAGGATGTATGCGCGTGAGTGTGTATGTATATATGTACATATATGCGTGACCGCACATAGCGAGCGAGCGAACGCGCATATTTCTTTCGATCCGGATGCGCATTCTCGGAATAGTGATGATCGGCGATACAAAGGCGGAAATTGTCGCGGCTATAACAATCGACGTCGTTCCCGTTTGATTTTAGCGTCGGCGCGGAAATAACGGCGCGGCTTTTTCCACCGATTGGCCGCGTGCAATTGCTCGATAACGCGTATCGTTACGCCGCGGATCACTCGAGGCGGATATAAAAACGCGTGAAAGAAACGCTGATATTCGCAGGGCACGAGGAAAACACTGACTAAGGAGTTGATATGGGCCATAGACGCCGACACTCCTTCGGAAATGCTGATCTACACGGTTTTACGAACGGATACCGACGCCGGCCACATCGAGAGAGTTACCACTCCTTTCCGACCGATCGACACGTTCACGCAAGCCGAGCTGATGCAGGGCCTGATCGCGTATGTGCATCGTGGAAACGGTAATGGCACGAATGTATATGCACGTAGCTTGTCATTTTTCACATGGAAAAGAACTGTTATGCTTGCTACAACTACGTCTTCTGTGATTAAAAAATCATGGGAATTTTATCATGGGCGTCATGTTCCTCTTAAATAGATGTGGCATTGTTGCTGTTTTATGCCCATCTATACTTCTCATAGTTCTTATGATTTCAATTAGTATATTCTCATATGTAGTTGCTTCAACCGAATAGGAACATTGCTGTCTCTCTCTGTTGTAGTCTGTAGAACGAATACTATGGTTGGCAGATTTGTGCTCTCTTAAAGTGAATCAGTAAAAGGAATATTTCACCGACACTCAGTAAATATTCACAGATTTTCATTGGAAACACTCCAACTTTACTGTGCCATCTTATATCTCATTGATTTTGACTAGTGAAAGTAAGATTTCATTGCAAAATCTGAAGTACACAAATTCATCATATGCCAAACCCAACTTTCTGCATTTGTGGCAATAGAGTCGACGGCTTCTATGCGATTTATGTATAATGACACTGTCCGTGTTGACGAGTTGCATCAACAATCATTACTATTGACTGATTATTTCAGTGAGATTTTACTGATTGCAGTGCTATAGACTGTAGCACCGCAATCAATCAAATCTCGTTGAAAGAATCTGTTAATAGTATAGCACAGAGATGGACTATAACTTAACCGCCATAACTGAACCGCCAATTATAAGTAGAGTATACACTGATTGTACCTCAGATAGTGTAATTATACGCTATACAGCACTGAAGTTTCGCTCAAACATGGAAGTATGACAAGCAGCAAAGAAGATCAGTGTATCACTTGCAGAGTATTATAGTCTCTACAACCCTATGCATAGGCGAAAAATAACATTAATATTTCGTAGCTGCAATTATATCTAGTCAAATGAAATCCATAGTGTTTCCTCCGTGCACAGAGTTTAGAGTTCGAGATTCCGCCTATACGAACGAGTTAAATTTTAATCTTACAGCTAAGCAGAACGCGATGCTGGGCCTGCAAGTGAGCGACGGCATTGAGAGCAGTCAAACAGCGTCTCTGCGTGTATCGGCTTATCCGTTACAAATCAAGCTGACACACAATACCGGCCTGGTAGTGGTGCACCGTTCGTTCTCCTACCTGACGTCCGCGAATCTCTCGTTCGCCACGAATTCCGACGATAACACCATCGACATACGTTACGACGTCGTCTCGCCGCCGCAACACGGCGTTTTGCAAAAGCTCAGGGACGTAACCGGCATTTGGACGAACGTCGACCATTTCACTAGTCGGGACGTGGAATCGCACATCATTCGTTACTTCCACAACGTCGGCAGTCCTAATCAAGACGAGTTCAAGTTCCAGGCGAGCGTGCGCGAAGTGAAGACGCAGCAGACCTACGACTTCCGCATCACTTTCATCGACCTCGAGCTTAGGGAAGCCAGAAGGGTGCCCGTTAATCTCACTAACACGTCGAACATCACCATCGCGAGCGGCCACTTGAGGTACCAGACGAATCCATTAGTTACGTCGCCGAGCAAGATTGTTTTTACTCTCACCGCGGGACCAAAATACGGCAATTTATTTCTGTCTAATCGCAAGCTCGAAACAGGCGACACCTTTACGCAGGAAGACATCGAAGCCGGCAGACTGACCTACCGTCTGTTCCGACGGGCTTACTCCAATATTCACGACGAAATAACGTTTAATGTCAATGCTCCGCAATGCGTCGACATACACGCCAACCTGAAGTTCCAATATCACATCGGCAAGAACGGCAAATCGCTGGAGGCGGTGGAGAGCCTGAGGGTCGACGAAGGCTCCAACGTGACTCTGAGAATCACGCATATGAATCCGAAGGAATACGGTCTATCTTCTCTGACATATAATCTTACAATAAGACCGAATCACGGCTGGCTCTCGATCGCTAGTACTTTGCGATCGCCGGAACAAAGGAACGTCTCGTCTTTTACGTTTGAGGATTTGTCGGCACTGGCGGTGTACTACGCGCACGACGATTCCGAGACGAAAGAAGACTCTTTCGAATTCGTGGCTGTGTCCACGGACTCCGTGGACTTCATGTACGTCGGGCGATTTCGCATCGAGATCACCATGAAGAACGACAATCCGCCGGAACGAACGGTCGGCCGGATTTTCCACGTCGTGTCGAAGGGCGAGAAACTAATTACTAACAAGGATCTTGCTTACACGGACAGGGACATCGGCACTAAAGCGAGCGAGCTCGTTTATACTAGAAAGGACGGCCGGAAGAGCGGGATATATCGGATTACCAATCCCTCGGTGCAGATACGCGAGTTCACACAACAGCACATCAACGACGGCGTGATACTTTTCCGGCATCAAGGTGACGAACACGAGACAATTGAATTCGGCATCACGGACGGTCACTTTTACAGAACCGGCGCACTTGAAATTCAAGCCAGCCCGCCCTATATCAGATTGCGCGAGAGCAACGGTTCGGTGGTGCAATTCAACAAGTCCGTGGTGCTTCAGCCGAAGGAACTGGAGATTGAAACGAACGTGTACACCACCGAGAAGGACATCAAGTACACCGTGTGGGAGAAACCAAAGCACGGCATACTGCTGAAGCACGGTAGGGAGTCCAACGGTTTCACGGAGGACGATTTGAGGCACGGCATCATCGCGTACAGGCATCTGGGTGGGTCCTTGACAAAGGACGTTTTCAAGTTTAAAGTGTACGTGAAGGGCGCGGAGACTGAAGGGACGTTTGCGATCAAAGTCTACCCGGAGAGCTATTGGGAGTCGTTGATCGTTCAAAGTAACAAGACGATATTCGTCGAGGAAGCTACGAGCGTTCTGCTGAGCCGGAAAAGCCTCGAGATAATGCATCCGAAAATATCGCCGAGCGAGATCGTCTACTACGTGCGGGAGTGGCCGTTGAACGGCTATCTGGACCTGCAGATCCACGACGAGCACAACAGCGAGGAGACCAAGGAGGAGTACAGCGGCAACGCGGTGAAGCGCTTCGAGCAGAGCCTCATAAACGATGGCCGCGTTTTTTACGTTCAATCGGTGATGAATCAGACGAACGATCGCTTCGTCGTCGACGTTACTAACGGCATCATATGGCTGCGCGGCCTCAGCGTGAACTTCGTCATAGTGCCGGAGAAACTCTACGTCGAGGCAAAGGGCTTCCTCGTGGTGGAAGGGAAGAGTGTGATATTGGACGAGTCTAAGTTCTCAGTAGTGACGCCTTATTACGCCGGCAAAGTGACGGATTACAGGGTCGTGGAAAAGCCGAGGCACGGCACGATCGTCGACTCCACTAAGAACGCCCAGGTGAAAAAGTTCTCGCAGAAGCATCTGAACGCCGCAGTCATACTCTACAAGCACAACGGGGATGAATTCCCGAGGGATTCCTTCAGGATGGTAGTCACAGCCGGCGACAAAACCAGCGAGCCTTTCGACGTACCGGTCGTCGTTCAGCCCGTCAACGACGAGCTACCAGTTCTGGTGAACAGAACCAGGCTGAACGTCTGGCAAGGAGGATCTGTTATCGTGACGTCCGCGAATCTGGCAGCCATAGACAACGACACCGACCCGTGCGATATCACGTTTAACGTGACCGGAGTGAGGAACGGATACATTTCATTAATTAACTCTCCCGATATGGACATCTATAATTTTACGCAGAGTCAAATTAACGAGTCGCAAGTGGTATTTACGCATACGAGTGAGTACATTATTATTATTGTTACATTATCGTCATTATTATTATATTCGAGAATTAATCTAAATGCATACACGAGCTGTTCTGCATAATTATACGTGCGTACATGAGAATACTGACGAGCGAGATCAAATTCGTGCAATAAACACATTCGATTAATTTTGCGATTAAAATATGCGAAATCAAGCGCAGTAATTAACATACACATGTAAAAGCACGCGGTGGTGGCTCTTCCAGATGGCTCCGACGGCGAGTTCAACTTCGTATTAAGCGACGGCGTACACACGACGGAATCTTACACAACCTTGGTCGCCACAAAGCCAGTTCGTTTGAACATTGAGCACAATATGCCGCTTAATGTCTTCCCTCTTACCAGGAAATTAATATCGGACAAGCTTTTATTAACGACTTGTTCAGACGAAGCGAGAGAGATTAGATACACTGTGCGAAATGGACCCCATTTGGGCAAAGTTATAATGGAGACAAGTGAGGGCGTATGGCTCGAGGTCGAGCGATTTACTCAGAGAGATATAAACAATAGCAAAGTGATTTACGAGCACACTAAGCAGTTCATGGACCTGACGGCCAACGACTCTTTTACGTTCGACGTAGAAGCTCACTTCGCTGGAACTTTAACGAATCAGGTATAGAAGACGGTCGAGCAATTGCTTGACGGATGACTTTATTGTCCTAAAGTTCCTTATCTTCTATCAGAAGATAAGGAACTTTCTAATGTTTCTAACAGTTCTAGTATTGCACAAATGGTGCTTACGCTCCCGGTAAATTAAGAGATTCGGTAACTTCGATGCTTTAATACTAGAATAGTCGATGAAGTCATTTTGACTCCTTTAAAGTCTTCTTCTTGTCGTTACTTCTATCTCTCGTGGTTTAGGAAAAACAGCTCTCATGACTTTTAATTATTTTTAAAGTAGAACACGCTGAAAAAGTAACGAAAAAGATCGATCGTGATGAGTTATTTTATAACTTATCTTCCCGAGTAAAAATTTATAATTATATCTAATTATATATAGATTTTGTCCTGAGCAATATATAGTCACATATATAATCATATATGTCTACATGGAAAAAAATAATGTTAAATGGAAAAGGGGAGTAATTTCATTCAATTAAACGTAGACATCATATGTTGCCAGAAGTATAAGCATTTAGTTCGATAATTGAATTTATAAAACAGTATTTTTTTGTTATAAACATATACAATTATACATGATTATGTATCTGACCATATAAAGACAAAATTCATACATGATCTTCTTTTTCACGAAATAAATCCTTAAGAGAGTCATTTTGACTCTTCATTTAATTATCAGTGTTATAAGGATAGTACACAAATTTGTTATTTGAAATTTTAGTTTTTTAATTCCGATTAAGTTTATATTTCATACTGTGTTTGTTCACCAGTCTTTTTGTACTGATTATAAAGGTCAAATAAGTAATAATTATGATATATCTTGTAAAAGGCCTGTATTTTGAAAATTATGTTCTGAGAGCATAGTTTAAAAATCATCATTGATGCAAGTAACGAGAAACTGAAAGACTTTAAAAATATTAGAATCGTAAGGAGTTAAAATGATTTTTTCCGGCATATAAAGAAGTTTGTCTTTTCCGAGCATTCTACTGTTAAATGAATTGCCCCAGATAGATATATTTTGTCATATTGTCTGAATAACGACTGAATTGAAAATAAAAAATTGTAGCACGCAAAGATGCGTCCTCATACAACATGAATTTTGTCAGTATATAAAAGAAAACATCCCGTAAAAATTGCGGCAATATTCTGCCGCCATAAAATTGCAGTTTATTTTCCAGTAAGTAATTGTTATTAATTCGAAATTATTATAATAATTAGAGATAAACATTTCAATATTCAATATATGACGTAATGAATCAATATTTCCTAAAACAATATATTTTAAATACGTCATGCTGTTGCAATAGCATCACAAGGTATACATTAAATGTTTACATGTTCATCACTTCTATCTATCTGGCTCAGTTCTCTTGTGTTTATTACGCATATAACGTAATTTGTTTCTAACAGTTTACTTCGTGTTGCAGGTTTTCCAAATAGATATATCAGTTTCAAGCGGTGGCCTAGACAGATATATTTCAGCGAAGAACGTAAGAGTCGTGGAGGGTGGTTCCGCAGAGGTCGTCATGAACATCAGCGGTATCGTGTCGTTTTTGCAAATCAATGCCGGGATCGAATATCCGGCGGTTCTCTCGAGATTGGTTCATCAGCCCAGCCATGGACATGTGATGCTTCTGCCAGACTTGAACGTGACCACCTTCACGCAGCCGCAGATCGAGGGTGGAAAGATAGCTTACTACCACGACCACTCGGACACTCTAGAAGATCGCATACAGTTCTCCCTATACTTGACACCCGGTCACGTGTTACTCTGCAACACCAGTGTGCCCGTCGTCATCGAGCCGGTCAACGATCAGCCATTCAAGCTCGTTACGAACGCCCCGCACATCACGGTCGTTCAAAATCAAAATCAGACCATCACACATGAGGATCTCTTCACCACCGATCCCGACACACCACCGGAGGAGATCGTTTACGACGTGATCTCGGGACCGACCTACGGCAGATTGCTGCTTTTACCCTTCGACCAGAACACGTCGGAGGTGCGACAAGTGAACAAATTCTCTCAGTACGACGTGGACTCGAATCGAGTGGTGTACGAGCATAACGGACCGCTGCAAGCGGCTTCCTTCTACTTCAGAGTCTGGGACGGTCGGTTCAACCCGGCTTACACCGTCTTTAACGTCCACGTATCGCCCATACTTCTGAACGTGACGGTGCTCGGGCCGGTGAGCTTGCAGCAAGGCTCAAACGTGGCCCTCCTGTCCGAGAACAACGTGAAACTCGACACGAACGCGCGGCAGGATCTAGTGATCTACGAAATCACGACGCATCCGAAGCACGGGGTGCTGTATGTGAGGGACAACGTCGCGGCGACCTTCAAACAAACCGACCTGCTGTCGAAGAACGTGATGTTCATGCAGACGGACATGACGGTGTCGAACGACAGCCTGGAACTGTCGGCGCGCTTGAGCAGCTTCGAGCAGGAACACATACGCGTGGACATCAAGGTGATGCCACTGATGATCATGAATCCGATGATCGCGTTAGCGGGCGAAAAGAACCAGATAACTCTCCGGTATTTAGACGCGACACCCTTGGCGAAGTTAACGACTAGCAATCCCCTCTACACCATTGTGAAAAAGCCGAAGTTTGGCAAGATCAAAAGAATTATCAGAAGCTCCACGTCGTCCGGCGAGAAGAGGGGCACGCGTGAACGGGAGGTAGCGCGTTTCTCGCATCAGGAGATCGTTTCTGGCGTGATATATTTGGTCTGCAGGAAAATACCCTCGATGGAGTACGAAGGTATCGCGGATAGTTTTAGTTTCATCTTAGCCGCGTCCATCTTTCAGCCGGCGATGGACGACTTCGAATTTCGGATCAAGCACGACACGGACGACGATAACATCACTTTGGGCGGCCCGATGGACCCGGTAGGCCACGAAGGCGAGATGGCGATCGCACCGAACATGAGCAACGACTACCTGCTGATTCTCGGCATGTTGCTCGGCGTGTTTCTCCTCGGAGTAGTGGTGATTATCACGATCAGGTGTCGGCACAACCGATACAAGCATGCCGAGGAGGAGAAACCGGAGAGCACACCTGCTGTCGGCGTGATGCCGCTTCCCAGACCTCCGGATCACCTGATGCCTGCAACTCCGCACCTCAAGCCCTTCGGCAACGATCACAATAGCGTGACAGCCAGCACGCCATTGCCGGTATTGCCGTCGACGTTGCCGCAGTGCAAGGTGATACCGTTGAGTCCTCTGGAGAGCAGCTCAGAGGTCGACGTGTCCGCCAGGTACCCTTACGGGGTAGCGGACGGCGACGAGTGGAGTAGCTTCGACACTTCCGAGCTACCCTGCCAGTCGGCCACAACTCAGAGGACCAAGAAGAACCCGCTGCTGAGGAGGGATCAGTACTGGGTCTAGCAGGAGACGAACGCGTTGCGGTTCATGCGAAGGAAGCCGTAGCGTCTCGCCAAGTGTCTCGTGCGGAACTATATCGAAACAATCGTGGATATCACGGACTTAATGTGCCTAAGGAAAGTGAAATCTACGACGAGGTTTACGGTAGTCGTTCGTCGAAGCCCGGAGTCATCGCGGCGAACGCACGAGGTCGACGGTGAGCGTGAGAACTACGTGAAATTTCGATGGTGCGGCGAGACCTCGGTGACTGTGTCGGCGTGTCGGTGCATCGTCCGACTGTAGTTCGGACAGCAAGAGAAGGAGAGAGGAAAGACGAAGGAACTTGTGGAGAGAGACCCGCGGATCGAACGGGAACGATCGATAGACTCGCGGGTAGTTCGCAGTGTCTCGTGTACTACTAGCCTAAAACGATATAAGCAGAAATCTAGAGAACCTCTTTGAATGTCACGACTATCGCCGCTATCACGAGCTCAATGTGCCTAAGAGATGTCTGACTCTGCTGACATTTTTCCACTAATCGCAATCGTCGATTTTTCGTGTACGCCCGCTCAACGTTCCTTCCCCTTCGGCGGATCGATATGTACGACTGACAAACGAAAACGGCAAATCATAATTGTTCGCTGGATATACCGAGAAAAAGAGAGAGGGGGGGAGGAGAGATTCCTGTCGGTAAAAATCAATTCCGATTCTAAACCGGAAATCTGTCCGTCGGTTTACTGACTCGTTTTAGAGTGCAGACCTTCAGAAGGATCCGTAATAACTTCTTTTACGTTTTTCTCTATCTCTTTCCACTTTTTACACTTTTTGTAAACTTAGAACAGTAAGAAATACCGAGTTACGAAAATGGCATTTATCGATCCCCTACTGTCGTAAGTTTCAGGCGAAATCAAAACCGAGGCGGAACTTTCGCTCTGCCTTAAGCTACATAGAGACAAAGGCCAGGATCGGGTAAATGGGGCAATGTAGGAATCGCGCGACTGCGATCGTAAAACGATCCGTCGTCTGCACAACGCGAACGAACACCTGCATGCTCCTCTTACAAGTTCCTTGTCATCGAAGCGCAACCGAATGCATTTATATTAACACGACTGTACTCCAGTTTTGACATATCTTTTTATACCATTGTATTTGCCCGAGTCGAGCTTTGATTTTCCTCGAATGATACAATTCCATCCTATCGTTACTTCGACTATCTCGGTGTTATCCTTAGCTCATATCGTGCGAATAAACGTAACTCGACAATTAGTCGTTCGTTCATTCGTTCGGTGAAACGCGAACACGCGTCGCTAGAACGGCGAAGTCGCGCCGTTTTTCTCTTTACGTAGAATGCGTTGAATTATGGCTCCCGTTAAGAAAAAATGTACAACATGCAGCATATTAAGGAATCATGTCGACTGTTTATTGCGATCTCAGATAGGAGCGAAACTTATCGATCGATAGCGTTACTCAGTAAACATCAACTGACAGCAATATTACATCAATATTATAATTTCTCACTCAGTAATGCAACTGTCATGTACAATATATGTTATATTTAAAAAAATGTAATCTCATCTTTCGCGGAATCTTCTCACGTATGGTATTAAGAAGATTCATCTAAAGCCAAAAGAAAAATATTCTGAAAACAATATTCTTGAAGTTGAAGGAATTTCGTCTGTTATCTACACACACAGTATGAGTTTTATTCTTAATAGAAATATTTTCTAGTAAGAAGACATTCTGCTTTAAGCATATTTCTCTTGATACAAAGTGAAAAAAAAGAAAATAAATATCTAGTAGATTTATGATTAATAGTTCACTTCATTAGAAGAGAATTACTCTTTCGATTCACTGAGAAAAAATATTTGAAAATTTGTGAGATATAAAGTTCCTTTCTTAAGATAAAATTTATTTCAATAAAATAAACTTTTATCCCACAAATAAATATTCAAATATTTTTTCCTCAGTGTAAACGTTTCCGCTTAAAGAATACGATTATAGGAAAAGGTACCTTGTAACCACATTGAAAAAAAAATATTTGCAAATTTATTCGTAGGATAAAAATTTATTCTCCACAGAGATAAACTTGATATTCTGCAAATAAATTTTTAAATATTTTTTCTCAGTGTAGAGTTCTTCTTTTTAGGTGTCAGAGAGAATTTTTTTTGGTGTTTAGAAGAATCTCCTTGAAATTATATATAAAAGGATTCCGTAAAGTTATAATTTTTTGGGTGTATATTACATTTATACATTGCTGAGTGGGAAATTTATAACACCTATGTAATGTTACCCTCAATTGGAGTTCTGGGTTCTGAATTCTTCCGCCGCAAATCATCGTTTTTCAACGTTTTCTTCACGACGAAGCGTTACAACGATTATCTTTAATGGAACTACGTAGCATCGCCTACGGGACGCGCAATTCATCCGTTTTCCCGCATGATTCGTCTCTGTAGTGAGCGATAGACACTTTGCTTAGGCGACGCCAGATAACACGACTGTTCGACGTATCTCAAATTGCGAATTATCGTTAACGGTCTAAGTCTGTAAGCCGTTTTTTACAAAAGTTCGTAGGACTGTCCTACTACGAGTCGTTGACGCGCGGCGAGTTCGTAATTCATAAGCGATGAACGGGGTTGTGTATGTATGTGTATGTATGTATACGTGTGTGTGCACGGTTCCGGTATTACGAAAGAGAAATTTATTGATAGGGGCGTGTTGACGAGTTCGTTGATTCTTAAGAGAGATTTTACGTTACGTTACCCTTATATACGCGAACTCACTTAACGAATCCGCTTCCGGCCAATGCCAAGCAACCGCGTGGTGAATTATCGTTTTTATCGCTCGCGATTGTAGTTATTAAAAGATCAGGTGAATCTCAGGCCGATATGAGCGTATTAAACATAAAGATTACACGTCAACGAAGTAAAGAAAAACGTAACATTCGACGTGATACAAATCGCATAATAAATTAGAACTCACTGAATGGCCGTGATAGTTTTAGACATATGAGTCTATTTTACATAAGTTACTAGCATTGCTTTCGTTAAGATTAAACAACGTTGCCGTTGTCAAATGTTCAAATTGAAATTCTGTACATTTCTGAAGCAGAAGCTCAGGCGGACGTCTGGCCGAAAGTGGATTAACGGCGACTTCCTTAAAAAGAATCTTAGAAGCGTATCTAATAAAGCAGTCTAATGTGAATGTTGATTATAGCGATTGTAATGATATATAATATATATATAATGCGAACACACTCTCCTACACGCGCGTAGAACGTACTACCGTTCCATGGATTGATAGCATACGCATTGATAGATTCTAATTAAAGACGTTTTATCAAGACAGAGAGAGAGAGAGAGAGAGAGAGAGAGAGAGAGAGAGAGAGAAAGAGAGAGAGAGAACGAGAGAAAAAAAGAGACACCCGTTCGTTGATTCATGAATATGCTAGAGACGAACCGTTAGGCTTTTTTACATCCATCAAAAACGAACTGATCCGAGTGCCAAACTTCTATAATATGATATTGTATAATTACTATAGGAATGTATTTTCCCTGCCGACTGAATGCATTACTCTTCTAATTCTAATAAATTGAATGTGCGATGTTAAGTAAATACGGTCTAATTTATTATATAGCGCGCATTTATATGTAGTTTACCGTATATCGTAACGTTATTATTATTAATATTACGATTTACCTTATGTTTACTGAATAAGTAATGTATCAAAGAGAAATTCTTTTATAGTCGTTATGTACACGTTTCTATGTTTTAAGATAATTTTTGTTATTGCATATAAAGATGACCGAGGAAATACAATAACCTATTTTTAAAAAAAATATATATATATACGTATGCATAGTGTATGCGATTGAGTTCTGAGACTATTTCTATTTAAATTTCTTTTGCGCATTATTATTTCATTTGATCATTATTTGATTTGATAAATAAGAAATGAACACCTCGTTCTTTTTTGGACAAAGCCGAAAGACCAATGAAATCATGATACAGAAAACGACGGAAATAAGTTGTTTCTAACGATGTTTCAAAACTAAAGTTAGATTCTTACTTCACTTAACGTGATAGTACCCCAGAAGAAACAATATCTAAAAAAATTTTTTTAAATATATTGTATTTAATGTATCCGAATATTTAGTTTTTTGGCATTTTCTGTGGATCGTAATACATCAGATAAGAAGCGGTGAACAAGGACGAAGGAATCGCTTTTATTGCGTCTCTAGACTTTATCATTTTGCCCGAAAAAATCGAGGTGAATCGCCACTATTTCAAGTGACTTGCACAGTGACAAAAAAACTATTATAATAACTAATAACATATTTATTGAAATCTAAATTCTTTCATTTAAGTAGAATGAACAATTTCATGAAAAGTTTTAAAAAAATGTACATTTTCTTATTTGACAAATATTTTATATTAGAATATAAATAAATATGTTGTTAGTATCTCTGAAATAAATATTTTTTATTTCTTAAATATTTTTTTTCTCTCAGTGTAGGATAAAAATTGTTTGACGTTGAGAAGCAGCAATTATCTGTATTTAATTGTCTAAATGATGTGAACTGTGTATATAAGTCGTAGGGAGGAAAATATTTCTCCCAATATTCGTATAAAATCCGCCATTATGATTGTGCCATTATGTATGTTTACCTTTTAACATGTTCGTTATTACGTATTATATATTATGCCATGGATATATGAATATTGTATGTTCCACTGCTAAACAAATATCATATATTTGATATCAACAATAATTTATAAATTAATCTTGTTATATGTATAAATAAAAAGACGCATATTGATGCGAAAATTGATATAAAAACATTTAACATGTAATGACGGGCATTCGATAAAAACGAACATGTTAGTCATACCTCAATAATTGAAATACCTATATTTTATATACAGGGTTAGGTAAGTTGATTCTTTTTAAACTAAAAGAGAGTTAAGTTTAAAGTTAATGGCTTTTAAATTAATTTAATTTGTTAATTTATGTTAAAAGTTACATAAACAAAAACTAATTCAATTAAAAGTTAACATTAAATTAACTTATTAAAGTTAAAAATTAATTATACAAAGCACAATATGTATGTTTTGCATAATTACTTACTAAATACTTTTCGAAGATTAAATTTGTGAATTATCAATGATGAAAAAAAAATAGTTTTATAAAAATAGTTTTATAAAAAAATACTATTTTATGTTCAGAACTCCATGTAGGAAAAGAACAGTGGTGCTTAGAGATATTTTTATTATTATTCTTTCTTATCCTATATTATTATCAACTCGCAATGATTTAACTATTAATGATGATTATTTATGATTAATGATAATGATTATTTTAAGTTATGTAAAAAACAGTTAATATCTTAAAGTTAATACATTTTAAAATGGCTAATTTAAGTTAAAAATTATATTAACTTTTTAACGTTTTAACTTAACTTTAACTGATTAATTAGTTATTACCCAACTCTGTATATATATCTCAGTAAACACTATTTATAATATAATTAGTTTATAACATAATTAATCTTATTACGTAATTAGTGTTTACTGGAACATATGAGTTATTGAGAGCAAGTGATGTAAATCAATTTTTTTAAATTTATATTAGTGTTAGATTAACATAGACAGAGAGAGAGAGAGAGAGAGAGAGAGAGAGAGAGAGAGAGAGAGAGAGAGAGAGAGAGAGAGAGA